AAAATTTTACCCAGAGGGAAATGGAAAACCAACGGAATGGAAGGGAGGAAAATATAAAGTTATTTACTTTTCAAGAAGTTGAAGCAGCAATCACCTCAATGAGTAATGGGAAGGCACCAGGACTAGACTGTATAACACCCGAGATGCTAAAAAACGCGTACAGGGAGATTCCGATGGTTTTTGTGTATCTTTTTAATGAATGTTTGATTAGAAGATATTTCCCGAAATCGTGGAAAACTGCCAATGTTAAACTAATCCCAAAGACAGAAAACCCACAAAATAAGGATGAATTCAGACCAATTAGCCTATTAAATACAATGGGGAAAGCANTGGTTACTCTTTTTCACACTATCCTATCTCACTTTGTTTCTTCTTCGTGCTTTTTTCTTACTTTTCTAACTCCTTCTTTCCGATTTCTAATAGGGCATGAGTCTGCGGCTTTGAGCGGACAGCCCTCTAATACCTTTATTAGCATGTCTATAGCAGAGAAAAACTGCCAATGTTAAACTAATCCCAAAGACAGAAAACCCACAAAATAAGGATGAATTCAGACCAATTAGCCTATTAAATACAATGGGGAAAGCATTGGAAGGGATGATTATCAAAAGAATAAATTGGGAATTACATAACTCACAGAATATGCACAGGAACCAGTACGGGTTCAGGTCTAATAAATCTACTATACATGCAATCTTTAGTGTTAAAAAATTTGTCCACACAGCATGGGAAGGAAATAAACATGCACTGTTGGTGACGATTGACTATAAAAAAGCATTTGATCACATTCGCTGGAAAGAAATCTTAAATAGGATAACAGAAATTAAAAATCTGGATGCAGAAGCAAAAATATTAAAGAGCTATCTTACTGATCATTTTATTGAGTTTCACGAGTTAAACTATGCCAACTACAACTGGCACGTTTATACCGATGGGGTCAGTGGGGATAAGGGCATGGGAGCAGCCTTTGTGTTATATGACAACCACCTNGAAATCTTAAATAGGATAACAGAAATTAAAAATCTGGATGCAGAAGCAAAAATATTAAAGAGCTATCTTACTGATCATTTTATTGAGTTTCACACTAATAGTATACATATCAGGAGACAGATAAACCGTGGTTGTCCGCAAGGATTCCGCAGCAGACCAAGCCTATGGAACATGATTTTTGACGAATTGCTGTCTAACTGCCCTGAGAATGAGAAGCTAAAAGTTCAGGCATTCACGGATGACTTGCTCATTATGATTGCGGATGGTAACTGTGACAGACTAACAGAAAAAGCGAATAATATATTGGAAGACATATATCAAAGGAGTGATAAACAAAAGTTGCCAGTGAATTATTCACAGTGCGAGGCTCTGGTGTGTACCAGAAATAATAAGCATGGACAACTTAAAAAAACATTAAAATTAAGAATGAATGGGAATAGAATAAAACAAGTGAAAACGATGAAGTACTTGGGTATAATATTTGATCCGAATCTAAGCTGGCACAGCCATATAAAAGAAATTTGCAAGAGAACAACACAGAGGATAAACCTAATTAACTGGATTTCTGGAAAATACTGGGGATTGAATTTCAGAAACAATAAACTTATCTACAAAATGGCAATTGAGCCCGCAGCTCTGTACGCAGTACCGGTATGGCAGGAAGCGCTCCAGAACACCCATATAAAAAGACAATTACTCTCATTACAAAGGAAAGCGGCGATAAGTTTAACGAAGTCATACCGCACGGCCCCAACGGATGCAATGCTTGTTATGGGGGGTATTACCCCGATCCATATAACGGCGAAACTGAATGCATGGTGCTGGATTATTATTAATAATGAATACTGGAATAAAACTCAACAGCAAATAAATAAAGACATCAAGTACAAAATCCTACCAAAAAATTACAAAGAATTGCCAATTATAATAGATAAAACGGAAATTGATAAAGTGGAAAATAAAACGGATTTTGATATTCACCCCAGGAATAGGAATAATTATCAAATCTGCTTAGAATACAATCAGGACGCAAACAAAAACTTTAATTGGTTAATATTCACCGATGGATCAAAACATAAGGAAGGTGTAAGAGCGGGAATTTGTATTATGAAGCAGTCAAGTAATAGAATAATATATAAGGCTAGCTTGAAGATGGATAAAACATGCAGCATCACCCAAGCCGAACTGTGGGAAATATACAATGCCATTAGGAAAGTAAAAGATAACATTCACTACTATAAAGGGAAGATAAGAATCTTAGTTGACAGCAGAACTGCTTTGCAGATACTGAACAAAACAGGGAAAACGTCTACCCTGGGAAGGGAAGTCATCAAAGAAGCCCACAGTTTAGGTAAATTGACAACATTACAATTCTCCTGGATCCCGGCACATACAAACATCACTGGAAACGAAATTGCGGACGACTTGGCAAAACGGGCTGGATACTCTACTAATAAAACTACGTATAACAGGCTCCCAGAATCAGAACTAAAGAGGACATTATTGAACTGGGGAATACAATGCTGGCAGAAGGAGTTGGAAAATTCAAACACTGGAAGGACCTGTTTTAAGTATATCCCTTCTATAATGGATAGATTAAAAAATAAACATTATAAGCCGGATCCAAATACTTCGCAATGCTTAACCAACGATGGTAAGTTCCAGGCTTACCTCTACAGGATTAAGAAAACGAATCATGATAGGTGTAGGTGTGATAACAAAACAGTTGGTGATGCAACACATTTTGCTTTTGAGTGCGAACTATATGATGAGCAGAGAGACAAACTATACAGAGATTGTATACAGTATGGAATGTCATGGCCACTGAACCCTAAGGAACTTTTCGACAATAAGCAGCTCTGGGAAATCTTTGAACAATTTGTGAAGAAGACAACAGTTTTACTTCCGCACATACAAATTCAAAAGAATACAAGGTCACAACAAACAACTCCACAGCAAAGCGACTCAGAGGACGATATAAATGTGAACAGTGATACTGATGAAGAGACAAATGACGAAGAATATAACATAACGGAAGAAACCCCAGAAAGTGACTAATTAGGAATCCAATTGTGGTTTAAAAGCTATGGCTAGTGTTGTCTACATTGTAATTTTTTTCAGTTAAGACCACCTTTTCTAACTCGGCACATTGTCAATACGCTAATTGCTAGTTAAGTTACTGTAGAAATTGTAGTAGACCGGGTGTATTCTTAGCCTTCTGTTAGCCGCCTTTGACCCATGATCAATTCCTTTCTATCTTAATTGGGATTAAGCCCCGATACCGTTGGTGCCAACATTCTGCACCTGGCTGCGGTATCGTCACGGGGCAGGATTGATCATGGAGTCATTTTCCGATGGCAACCTTTTGGTCTGCTTAGGACAATTATGTATTATTATTCTTGTTGTCAGGTTCATTGCTAGGCAATGACCTATTCACCAGCATTTTGTTAATTCTGTATGTAATTTGGCTGTTGTATATATGTTATTGTACTTTGATTTAATAAATAAATGCGATGCAGATACTCGTGGGGTCCTATGGGGCCCCCTGGTTACTCTTTTTCACACTATCCTATCTCACTTTGTTTCTTCTTCGTGCTTTTTTCTTACTTTTCTAACTCCTTCTTTCTGATTTCTAATAGGGCATGAGTCTGCGGCTTTGAGCGGACAGCCCTCTAATACCTTTATTAGCATGTCTATAGCAGAGAGTCCGAGTCAGACATTGTCTCCTTGGACAGAGTGCTGCAGCCGATAGGCATCTTTGACTCTTTACAATCCACTCCACTCTACCTGGTTGGTATCTTACACTGTCCACTTACACAATGCCGTCTCAACTTCAATCATCTAACGTATCTGTGGTGGGGGCCACATCGACCAATGTTGTGATCAAACCATTGGAGGACACCATATTGGATGAAGCGAACCAACACTTTATGAAAATTCTCGATCTTCTCCCCGAAAAATATAGTTCAAACATTCGCACTGAAGAGAGGAAAGAGGTAAGGGAGAGGCTGACTCGCATGTTTTCAAGTCTGGGTCAATTTCATGGATTTTGAGGGAACTGAGATCAAACCAGAACACGCCTCACGCTCAACCACAACAGTCCCACTCACCACAAACTCCCGTTTCTTACGCAGACATGGCTAAGATAAATTCAAGACCGAGTTCCACTACTCAAGTTATAAATAAATCATTAAAAATCAAAGTTAACAATGAAGGCACTGGGAGTACTTTTGCTGTACTTCTATACCCCAAAGCAGACGAGGAGGGCAACTCAGCTGATATGGGGCAGGTCGAGACTGACATCAAAAAGAACATCAAACCTTCTGAACTCAAAATTAGAGTGAAAAATGTCCAGCAAGTGAAAAGGGATGGTCTCTGCTTCAGGACCGACACCCATAGAGAAGCTAAAATCTTGGAGGAAGCCATAAAGCAACTCCCTGAGGTTAACACAAAGATCAACAGCAGAATCTCTGAGGTCAGATGACCCAGGGTTTTCTTGTCTAACGTGCCCATCTCTGTTGAGGATACTGAAATTATACCCACAATCTACGATCAAAACGAAGAGCTCCATACAATTAATAAAACAGAATTTACTGATAACACCAGGATAAGTACGATCCTCTTTAGAAACAACGCAAGAGAGAATTGTAGGCACGTCGTACTGTCCACCTCACCCAGTATAAGGAATTTACTTATTCGTACCAAACACATCGCCATACAATGGACTAAAACATTTGTTAATGACTACATACCCTTACTCAAGTGTTATCAATGCTGTGGGTACAATCACCTGGCCGCCAACTGCTCGTCTAAGCAAAAATGCAGCCACTGTGGTAAAGGTCACCGCTTTGGCGACTGCAGGAAACTAGACCAATCACCCAGCTGTACCAACTGTAAAACAGCAAACAAGGAACTCCCTGACTATGACCGTTACCCAACTGATCACAATGCATTTAATCCAAACTGCCCTATCACAATCAATATGAAGGCCCTAACTGTCAAACAGACCAATTATGGGATCTAGTCTAACCAATAATAAGCTGAAGTTGCTACAAATCAATCTACAGAGGTGCAAAGTGGCGGCTTCAGATGCCATCCAGATCGCTTATGACAGGCAGACTGACATCATCTTTCTACAGGAACCGTATACTTACCAAAACAAAATAGCTATGTTTGGGAGCCAGCGCAGTATCTACCAACAAATTCCCTCCGAACCTCCTAAATCTGGTTTCATCATTGTCAACGATAAAATTGGCGCTCATCTCCTTCCACAACATTGCAACAATAGCTTCACTACCATCAGCGTTAACTTGGTCAACTCCTTTTACATCTTTATCTCTTTTTACTGCCCGCCTTCTGGCGATCTGGAGGCCTCTCTTGCTCTTCTGGCTGATTCCATACAACAACTACAGGCCTACCCCATTTTGGTCTGCAGTGATTTCAATGCGAATTCACACACATGGCACAGTCCGGTGGAGGACCCCAGGGGTTACCAGGTGGAGGAATTCTTGACGCAGTTCCAATTAACCTCCCTTAACACGAGTACTCTTCCCACCTTCTCTTCCACCAACGGTGAGAGTTGGATCAACATTTGTCTGGGTTCCAACAAATTTGTTTCTAAGAATATCCAGTGCTACACTACAGATATACACTCTGCCAGCGATCATAACTACATCGAAGTCGTGTTTGATCAGTCAACTCCACTGCCAAGTACAGGATTACCCAACATACCAACTGGGACCTATACCATCTTCTTATCCAGCAGCACTGGGACCCCGTTGATCTGGCAAACATCAAGGATACAACAGACATTGATAACTTAGTCACCAGGTTGGACAATGTCATCCACACATCTTACCTTCAAGCAACCGTTCCAAAGGTTGTAAAACGGCACACCCCGTGGTGGAATCATGATCTGGCCAAACAGAGATCTGAACTTAGAAGGGCTAAGAGGAGGATGAGGAATGAGTTCGACCCAACTCATAAGCTTGAATTAAGAGCTGCCTACAGATCTCTTTTCTCCAACTACAAAACAAACATTAATAAGGCCAGGAGCCAGGCCTGGAGAGACTTCTGTACCTCAATTGGTAATAAAAACCCCTGGTCCACTCCATACTACATCGCCGCCAACAAAAAGAAGAAACTTGACATTCCACCTTCTATCAAGATTAGTGATAATAATTACACCAGCAGTATCTCGGAAACCTACGAGCATCTCATAGAAGTACTTTTCCCGGACGATTGTACCGACACTGACAATATCTACCACTCTAATATTAGGGCCAGCCTACTTGAACGCTACTCTAGTTCCAACGACACCAATTTCACCTTCACGGAGATTGCGAAAGAATTCAAGAACTTAAAGCCTAACAAAGCCCCTGGCCCAGACAATATTACTACCAAAATGGCCAAGCTGGCCTTTGATGCAATTCCAACATCTTTCAGCATCCTCATGAACAAATGCCTTGAGCTTGGCTTCTTTCCTTCAAGTTGGAAAAAGGCAACTATCAAGCTCATCCCTAAGTCAAAAGACAAGACGCCTACCTCAGCTTCCGACTTCCGCCCTATCTCTTTGCTCCCTATTATCGGTAAAGTTCTGGACTCTCTCATTATCAATAGAATAATACATCACTACGAGAGCAATCACCTAATGAGTGAGAGACAGTTTGGTTTCAGAAGAAAGAAAAGTGCTATAGGGGCAATTGACAACATCTGCAACCACATTAGTAATGCCAAGAATAATATAAACCACACTATATTGGTCTCAATCAACTTTAAGGGGGCTTTTGACCACGCTTGGTGGCCTGCAATACTATATAATCTCAGGAAGGAAAAATGCCCCATGAAAATCTACAACTTGGTTGAAAGCTACCTTGATAATCGACATATCACCGTGACTACTGGCAGCAGTACTTACATCTCCAAGGAAATCCATAGGGGCTGCCCACAGGGCTCTAAATCGGGCCCATATCCATGGAACATACTTTTCAATAGCCTTCTCATGCTACAATTCAACATCCCAAAAGACTATAACGCGCTCATTCAGGGGTACGCGGACGACACCGTGCTCCTGATGAGCCACTTTAACCACGAAGTACTGCAAGAGAGGGTCAATAATGTACTCACTGACATCTTCGACTGGAGTGAGAGGATAAAGCTGAAAATCAATTACAACAAGTGTAGTGTGACTGTCTTTTCGAAAGCAAATCCTCTCAAGAAAGGGCCCAGTATCAAAATTAATGGCATAAAAATCAAGAACACAACTTCTGTTAAATACTTAGAAATTATTATTGACCACCGCCTTAATTGAACTGAGCATGTACATTACATGTACGAAAAGGCTACTAAAATCACACATGCATTAAGGTCCATTTGTAGGAACCGCTGGGGGTATGGCCCCTCCTCCAGCAGGGCTCTTCCATTTCTTCCATTTCCAGGATTCTTCCAGTTGTCCATTCAGAGGCTATCATAGCCCGGTGGAGGACCCAAAGGGGTACCTCCTTTGTGAGTTCATGGCAGTGTTTGACTTGACCTCTCTGAATGTCAGCCCGCTGCCCACCTTTTCCACCAGTAGAGGCAAGAGTTGGGTGGATGTGTGGCTGGGGAACCCCAGTTTGCTAGATCAGGAAGTGGAGTGCAGTACTATGGACCTCATCTCAGCCAGTGACCACAACTATATCATGACCACAGTAAAGAATGGCAAAGTGAGCTGCAATTATAAGATCGCTAGCATCACAAACTGGGATATTTTTCACAACTGCATTACTTACCTCTGGAGGCCGCCTACAATAATTTCCATGAACTCTAAGGAAGAGTTAGACAAAGTTATTCTCAACCTCACCAGTACCATCCACGAGGCAGTGTTCCTCTCCACCAAAATCAAAGTTAGAAAGGCGAACGCCCCATGGTGGGATGGCGAATTGGCGAAAAAACAAAAGGAGGTAAGGAGGTGTAAGCGAAGGTTCAGGAGGGAGTCAGATCCACACAGGAAGGAACAAAAAAGGAAGGACTACATGAATTGTTACAAACAATATAAACAGTTAATTAACACTACTAGGACGAAGTCTTGGCGTAGTTTCTGCACGGACAGGTGTGGCGACAACCCCTGGTCAATCCCCTACTATATTGTGAGGAAGAAGGGTAAAGCCAGCTGCTTCCCCCCTACTATCGACAAGGGGCAGGGCATCTTTACAACATCTATTTAGGATACCTGTCAGAGTATCTTCGACGCTCTGTTCCCTCAAGATGAGCCGTCTAAAGATACTGAGCACCATAAAACTATCAGGAACAAGGCCAGCAAATATCATTGTGGTTATAACGACAAGCCTTTCACAGCCACTGAAATTTGGAAAGAAGCCAAAAATATTAAGTGAAATAAAGCACCGGGCCCTAACTTTATCACTTGGCAAGCTGCCAAGGAAGCTGTGTATGCCCTCCCTACTACCTTCCTCCTCATCTTTAACAAATGCTTAGACATTGGCTACTTCCCCACCTGCTGGAAGAAGGCCTCTGTCAAACTTCTTCCAAAAGATCCCCGTAAAACTCCAACGGCACCTTCTGACTTCCGTCCTATTGCCCTGCTGTCCTTCTTCGGCAAAATGTTGGACTCTCTTATTATCAACAGGGTAAAGTATCATCTGGACTCTATAAATTTTTTCCACCCTCTTCAGTTTGGTTTTAGGAGTGGAAAAAACACTATAAGTGCTTTAGACAACCTTATAGATTACATCAACAGAGCAAAGAAGAATAATAAACACACTCTGTTGGTTGCCATCGATTTCAAAGGCGCCTTCGACCACGCTTGGTGGCCGGAAATTCTCCACCAGCTTGGGGAGGCAAACTGTCCCAATAACATCCACAGTATTATTGGCAGCTACCTAAGGGATCGGTGCGTCACCTACTACCATAAGGATAGGAACATTTATTCTAAAGCTGTTAATAGGGGGTGTCCGCAGGGCTCTAAGTCTGGCCCCCTAATGTGGAATATTCTTTATAATGGGCTGCTCAAGCTTCAAGAGGGCAGGCCCTTAAACACCATGATCCAGGGCTACGCGGACGACACGGTGATCGTGTTGTCCCACTCAAATCAGGAAGTCCTTCAAGAAAATATGAATGAACTACTGACACTGGTCCATGACTGGAGTGAGAAGGTCAATCTAATTATTAATTACAGTAAGTGTAGCTGCATTCTTTTCCCTAGGGGTAACCCGCTGAGCAAACCCCCATCGGTAAAGATAAAGAATCAGAGGATAAAGTACAAAACTACCATTAAGTACCTGGGTCTACACATCGACCATAAACTTCTTTGGAAAGACCATGTGCACGAGGTTTACAACAAGGCACGGGGAAATCAGTTATGCCCTGGCTTCTATAGCTAGGAACAAGTGGGGACTTAACTATAAGGCCAGGCGTGCCACCTACCTAGCAGTCACGCAGCAGATTGTTGCCTATGGCTGCGAGGTTTGGGGGCACAGGGTAAAGACAATTCACATTAGTAGGAAACTTCTATCTCTTCAAAGGTTGGCGGCCCTCTATACAGCCAGAGCATACAGAATAGCACCCACGGACGGGCTTCTGGTTATATCCAACCTTATGCCTATTGACCTATTCATCATGGAAAGGTATATTCTTCACAACATGAAGAGGTTGGCCTGGCATAGCATTACGCAGGAGCAATTTTGGAAGGTGGCTACACCCTTTGTGGAGGGGGATATTATCCCTAATCTAATTACCCTAATCACTGATAGGGGTATGGATATTACAAATGTTATTAACTATCATCCGGCAACTGATCCCAATTATAACATCATTATGGACAGTCCCCCATCTAACACTAGTGACATCAATATCTACACAGATGGCTCTCACTCTGACGAAGGCACGGGTGGCTCCTTCGTGGTGCATGATACAAAGGAAAGGACCATTTATCAGCGCTACTTCAGGATGGAAAGTTACTGCACAAACAACCAGGCCGAGTCCTTGGCTCTGCTTAAAGCATTGGAATACATCAATAATAGGAGCCATAATCACAACCATAATAGGGTTACAATACATACTGACAGCAAAGTTGTCCTCCATCAAATCCAAAATAGGAACACTAAGCTCCCTATCATTAAGAATATCCTGCTCGAGTTGGATTCCACCCTCTGCCCCTCCTTGGTGCTTAACTGGGTCAGGGGCCACAGTGGTGTGAAAGGCAATGTTCAAGCTGATCTGCTGGCGAAGAAAGCAATCACGAACCTCAACAAGTGTGTTTACAATAAAATCCCATACTGTTGGATCGCGAGGCAGGTTCACTCCTATATTATTGACCGTTGGAACAACAAATGGGCCAGCAGCTCTACTGGAAGGACGGTGTTTCGGTTCCTCCCATCTATCAGGAAGAGGTTGAATTACAGTCATCTGACCCCCACGTATGAGCTCACTCAGCTCATCACCGGACACGGTAATATGGGGAGTTACCTTGCACGCTTCCTTATAAAAGGAAATGGCCTCTGCTCGTGCCCCTCCTCACCATGGCAGGATAGTGACCACATTCTGTTTGACTGCCCGAATTTTGACCAAGAAAGAAGAAGGCTAATCTCTGCCGCCCAGGAAGAAAACATCCCCTGGCCATGCAACCCGGACCAATTTATGGCCAACAAGTGCCTCTACAACGCGTTGTGTACGTTCACTAAAGACATTAAAATCTTATCCTGAGTAAGGGCCACTTTCTGTTCTTTTGGCCCCATCGGTTTTGATTTGTAATCGTTCTCGGTCCTGTTCCTCCTACGTGGAGGGCCGTACTTTCTGTAAACTACTTCTCAACCCGCCAATTGGGTTC